CGGTACTGTGTAATTGAACCCTTTCACCAAGAGCTGAGCATCTAAATAGACCTGACAGACACAGGATGAGGGACAGAGTAGCATAGTGAGCAAAAGTGATGGCAGCCAATGTTATGTTATTTCCTTGATTTTTTTTGGTGGGTTTGCTTAGCTGGGGAATCAGCTCAATGGAGAGGTGTGAAGGGAATAACACAAGGGAGAAGAGTATAGGAGAGGCAGGTGTGGAGTGCAGTTGAGGGGAAGAAAGTGCTCCAGCCTTCTTTCTCTGCCCTGGCATAACTGGCTATTTGCGGAGGGAGGAAGAAAGTCCAGTCAAAACTGTAGAAAGTTCTCTGAATAGCCAAAGGTCTGTGCTTTATCACTTAACTCACAGTAGGGCTAACTTTTTATTTTTTTAAAATGTATATTTAGCTATATATAGAGAGAAATATAAATTATATATTTTATAATTTGTACAAGAACATTTTTATCAGTGTTTTATCGTGTCTGGACAAAGCTTATCTCCAAAACTCCCTGAAATAATATTAAGTTTACAGCATTTATCTGAGTTAATGGGTTTTTGCCTTCTGCTCTTTTATTTACATCATCACATACTAGGACTCCTTGCACACTGACTGCTGAGGTTTTTGGAAAACCTTACCTTCACCATGGGGCCATAGGGCTTGATTTTTTTCAAAAGAGCCAAGCACGCACGCACTCCATTTGAAGTTAATGAGTACTGTTGATGTTAGGTGTTTGTCTAGTTGGGCCTCCATATACTAAAACATCACGATTAGGTGATTATTCTGTAAATTTTAGCTCTAATTACTCTGATTCAATTCCAATTTGTACAATTGGCCTAATTCACAGGGTTATTATAAAGATAAATTAATGTTTTGAGTACAAATGCTACAATCATGAGTGTCATAGGAAAGCCCATGAAGTTTTATGATTCTATATTTAGTGCAGGATGGTCTGCAGTGAAGGGTGGAGGTCCTCTTTTGAATATTTAGGATAAAAAAAACCCTGAATTGTTGCTTACCATCTGTGCTATGCACTGAATGAGGCAAGTCCTTTGAAAAAAATAACATGATCATACAAATAAAAGATGATGATCTGATCTGCACTACGGGGGAGGATCGATATAAGTTATGCAAATTCAGCTACGTGAATAGCGTAGCGGAAGACGAAATATTTAGATCTACTTGCTATGGTGTCTTCATTGCACTGTGTTAACAGGAGAGCGTCACCCTCATCTTCCTCACGCTTCTTTGAAAGGTGGGGGAGTACGCATCTATGGGAGAGTGCTCGCCCATTTCAGTAGTGTCGTCACCAGGCTCAGTAAATTGATACTCATTGCATCAATTGCAGCAGAGCCAATCTACTGGCAAGTGAAGACATACTCTATATGATGATATATACCCACAGAAAGCAAAATTCAGTTTTGTTGGGCAGCCTCGATTTTAGTGTTCCCTGAATTAAGAATAGAACAAAACACTCAACATACGTTAGTATTTTCTGTATAGATTGTATCTTTAACCAGGTACTTGCTTAGTTCACTTAATGCTTGGATCATTTTTATTTTCTTGCAACAAAGTTTTCATGGTGGGTCAGTAAATTATTATACACTTTGGCTGGGTTTAGTTTTGGGATGTCCACTTCACATTGACTCTCCAATTTATAAAATAAATATTTTATCTTGTTTTTTTAAATAAAAATGTAGTTCTCAGGATTACTGAAAAATATTGATTAAATCACTTTGATTTCAGATAAGAGCATGTCTCTTTTATTGTTTATGCATGTACTCAACTCTCTACAATCCTGTAGTTATGATTATGTAGCAACAGATCGCTCCCATTAGGTTTCGAGACTTTCACACACAAGATATTCAGTGTCCAGAACACATTTACAGTAAATTGCCTCTATTTTTAAACAGACCTAGACAGATTTACATAGTACAGTTATACTACTTTTAGTACTAATAATATGAAGTAGTTCTTTAAAACCACTAAGCCTGTATAATCACCATTGATGTAGAACGTTTTTGTTGTTAAAATCATGCTTTATGGGTGTTTCGTATATTACAAATTCTACCTGCATGAGACAACTGAAAGAGTTGTTTAATCTGTACACACATAAGTAATTCTAGGGCCTTGGTCAGAAACAGTTCCATCAAGCCAGTAGAGGAAAAACATCATAGTTGTAGAAAAACAAAATACAGGACTATGTAGCACTTTAAAGACTAACAAGATGGTTTATTAGATGATGAGCTTTTGTGGGCCAGACCCACTTCCTCAGATCATAGTTGTAGGTTGTAGTGACTTAAGTGTTTCATCTTTTCTGGCATGCTTTGCCAGACAACATTCTCAGGAACCATGAACCTTTCCTCACAGATATTTTTACCCTGCCCTTTTCCCCTGTAGTAACAGACTCGTTCCTTTTTACTTGGCATTATTAGAGAATTTCGTCAAACAGATAGGTCACCCAGAAAGTATATCCTGCTCCAGGCTGCTTCCCCAAAATCTCTTACCCCCACCTTTTTCAGGAAGAAAATACAGAGAGTCTTCCTCCTTTATTTGGAAACACAGCTTCTTCGGTAGCTTCTGGATAAGGGGCTCTCTTCCCGTTATATTTTTATTGCCTGGAAAAAAGGAACGCTTTGCCCAGTCTTGGATATATGAAGGTAGAATAATTATATCCAAAAATTTGGTTCCCATATGGTGGGTGTAAGTCAGCAGGATTTGTTTGGGGCTCTCAGTCTTAAAGGCACTTAATTTTATGTTTCATTCAGGCTGTCTAACTATGTGTGCAGTATAGTTGTAGCTGTGTCGGTCCCAAGATATTAGGGACACAAGCTGGGTGAAATAATATCTTTTAATGGAGCAAAGCATTTAGTCCAGTAAAAGCTATTTACCTTACTGATGTTGTGAAGACCTGGACTTTAACAGGGTTCAAAAAAGAAATAGATACATTCATGGAGGACAGGTCAATCAATGGCCATTAACCAGGATGGGTAGGAATGGTGTCCCTAACCTCTGTTTGTCAAAGGCTGGAAATGAGTGACAGGGTTGGATCACTCAGTGATTTACTGTTCACTCCCTCTGGGGCATCTGGTGTTGGCTACTGTTGGAAGACACGATACTGGGCTAGATGGGCCTTTGGTCTGACCCATTAGGCAATTATGTTCTTATTCACCATGTTGGTCTATGCTGCAGTCCTCATTACTTGTACTTGGTTCTATGCTTTGGTCTTTTAGCACACCCAAGATTCAGGATTCTTGTCCTTACATCAAGATTGTGATATTGTTATGAAAATTTCACAGCTCTGATACAAAAATCTATTTTGCTTATCTTTACCGAACCCTGGTAATGGAAAACCAAATGATTCCTCTTAGTTTTTAATTTTTTGTTTTAAACAATCCCTGTTGATTTGTGGTTTTGCAAGGTTACCTTATCTATGACATTAGCCAAAATAACTCTTTCCACAAGGGGTGCAGTATATTTCAGACCCTGTGTATAAATGTTTTCAGTTCCTTGGGCTCGGGATCAGCTATGAAAAAAACATTCTTATTTAGCCATTTGAGTTCAGAGGGAGCCATTGTGGGCTCTACTCTGCAATAGCTTATTTATTACAGCCTGAATCCTAGTGGTTTGGAAGCCTGTGGACCTGTGTGAGAAGGGTAAAAAAACTTGATGAGCAAGGGTGGAGTTTCCTTCCTTGTTTCAAGGACAAGACTGCTTTTTGGGAAATTGCACTACCAGCATCTATTTACTCCATGAGTAAGGAGGAACCTGATTCCAGCACCAAATTCAGGAAATGTCCCACTTCTGAAGTGGTAGATTTGTCATCAGATTAGACTCTATTTGGGGATTGATTCCCTGTGTCTGTCATCACTCTACTCCTGGACCACTGGTGGATTTCAGCATACCATGAGGCTATCTGTCTCTGACCTGTGACCCATGCTCCTCTTCTTGGCCATGATTTTGACATTCCCTGTCCAGTCCTGGCTCTCTGCCACCCTTCTACGTTGTATTTTCAGTGTTCTGTTTGATACACTACCCCCAAGTTCAACTCTCCCAAAGGCCTCTGTCTTCTCTTTCTCTTTTCGCTAGCATCCGGTAATCTGATAAGTGACTCGTAAATCTCTCCCAACTTCAGACCCAGTTTCCTCAGTCTACATCTACATTTTGGTCTCATGGTCTCTTGCTTAAATTCAACATTGCCAAAATGGAGTTCTTGATCTTCCCCTCTCCATCCAACCAGTATTTCCTCCCCCAGGTTAGGAGGCCAAGGTTGACTGAATAGCAATAATCAGTTTTATTTTGCTGTATTCAAAAGATGATCTTATATCATGTGGTATCTTCATAGATAGCAAAGCAAAAGCAAACATTAAAAGTGACATGCAAATCCACCCAGAATACACGTGCACGATATTGTTTAATGTCTTTATATAATAGCAGTGGCAGTAGTGCAGATAACTGTAAAGATCTATAACCACAGCAGATTAAATAGTTTTAACTGATTTTTGCTAGTGTAGTTACATTCAATTTAATTATGCAGTGCTCTCAGAAATTCAGAAGGGATTTGGGAGCACAAGTCCTATTACTTTTTAATCAGATTTATGCTCCTAACTCCTTTGGGTGCTTCTGAAGCTCTCCCTCAAAGTATGCAAGAGCATCTTTGACTCTGTCTTCTGTGCTGTTGGGAACAAGTCTTGCCAAGGTTTGTACAGGATTGGCAGCTTGTGTCTGCTCCTTTTGTTCCCACCCATCAGTAATCACTTCCCCTGGGTCTCTCAAATGTGCAAAATACAACATGCAGAGATAATAGCATATATATTGCTGAAGAGTCAAGCGATGTCCCCAGACACTTCCACCTGCTTCTCAGCCTCATCTAGATTTTTTCCGTCAGCTGGTATTTCCAAAAGCCTAGATACACTACTTTAAGCTAACACAATGAGAGTTATTTTGGGTTAATATCTGTGAAACATAAAGAAATGTAAATCCTATGTTTTTGTGCAGGTTCGAATGCAAGCATTGAAATGCTTCTCAGTTCTAGCCTTTGAGAACCCCCAGGTATCAATGACTCTTGTAAATGGTAAGCTGAAAGCTTCAGGCTTAAAGTAGTGTAACACAATGAGAGTTATTTTGGGTTAATATCTGTGAAACATAAAGAAATGTAAATCCTATGTTTTTGTGCAGGTTCGAATGCAAGCATTGAAATGCTTCTCAGTTCTAGCCTTTGAGAACCCCCAGGTATCAATGACTCTTGTAAATGGTAAGCTGAAAGCTTCAGTGGCTAATATATTGTTCATTTTACAGATTAACTGAATTTGAATTATTTCCTGAATCCTCTTTTTCATTGTTTGCAGTTTTGGTTGATGGAGAATTATTACCACAGATTTTTGTGAAGATGTTACAAAGGGACAAGCCTATTGAAATGCAGCTCACATCAGCCAAATGGTAATCCTCAACAGGAGCTAGAGGGAGAGGGGCTGCATTGTAACTAATGCTTAAAATTGCAACTCATGAATCTTTTTGTTATAAAATCCTTGGGGAATTGTTAGTCTGTAGTCCATCTCCTTGCACTTATCAAGATAAACTCCTTTTCTCCTCAAATAAAGTGTTGCTATTAAATAATAATCAGAATATATATTATGCTTGTACCCAGAAGTCCCAATTCAGGATTGTGACGGACATTATACAGTTCTAGATAAGTGCTAATCCCTGCTCTGAAGCATTTGTAGTCTGAAGTAATATCTACATCTGAAAGATTCTGGTGTTGCTGGATACATCTTGGAAATTATTCCATTGATATTTAATATTACTGGTTAATTTAAAGATTTTCCTCATTTTAGTTTCAGCCTCTTCCACTTCCACTTTTTGACAGAGCAGGCTCTTGCATGCATCAGGGTGGGGTCCTTGCAGCTATCTGTTGTTGTGTGCCAAAGTTGCGGAAGCTCACAAATGAAGGAAAATCTCTGGAGTTAAAGCCTTTTGGCTTTCTCCAGAAGTTTTTCCCATTTGATTGTGTTCACTGCTGGCCAAAGTGGGTTTTTTTTTTTCAGGATCTACAAATGAGTGATGGGCAGAACAGCACATCCCTTAATTATTCATATGCCAAGTAAGCCTAGTTTCTGACATCAGTTTTGGTCCATTAACATCTAATTCCATTTGCTTGTTGTTTACTAGTCAGAATCCCAGCACAGTCCTTGGATTGTTTTGGTAGACCCTTTTGTATGGATAGTCAAGGCTTTTTGCCGCCTTTTTGTAGCTTTGCCCATCAACATATATTGTTACAGGTGTCTGTAACATTTTGCAAACTTTTACCCATTTTCCAGTAATTCAGCCAACAATTAGGATGGGCTTGTTAGGCCCTAATTATTACAGCACATCTTGTGTCCCAGCAATTCATCTCTTTCTTCTGCACTGATCTGCGGGTATCTCTGCTGGTCATTTTGCATGCTGAGTCCCAGCTGCCTAGTTCCATAGAACAGTGCAGGGAACATGGACTGGAATCAGTTAGCTTTCTGAGTGAGAAGTTGGAAATCAAAGGAAGCAGCAGGCTGGTCCTGGCATGGCAGGAGAAGTAAGCAAAATCCAGGCACCTGGGCACAGCAAATTCATAGCAAGGGTGCTGAATTCTGTGGTATCTTGGAAAAATGCCAGATTCTAGAGTTGTGGAATTGTGGCCTCAGTGGAGGTCTTTCTTGAGATGCCACCGGACTCTCAAAACTATAGTTTCAGGCTCAGCATGTGTGTGTTCAAGTTAATCTCCATAACCACAAGGAATACGAAAAGCTGAGTTTTAGGAGTAGAATTCTGTGGCAAAACAGAATTATTTTGTTGGCGAATGGTATAGAATGGAGCTTGGCCCAAAGTTATATTAAGTAATTTTTTCTCCCTGTTATACTGTTGTATTTTTTTTCTAGTATGGTACTTACTCTGGAGGCACCCAGTCTACTTTCCAGTAGTGAAGGTGAACAGCTATCAGGAATTATAAATATTTGTAATAGTTTTGGGCCCTTATTTCAGTATTTTGCCTTCATTAAAGGCACTCGAGAGGAAAATGGATATACTTCAAATCAGTTAATCAAGGAGGCGCATCTGGAAGGTGGACAGGCTCTGGCAAGCATACCATACAATTGTCTTGGGGGGTGGGAATGAGCTGAGCACAGGGGGTGTTTATCTCTAGAGGCTTATCTAGACTACCTTTTTCTGATCTCACTTTCGAAAGCTCCGATTTCGAAAGTGAAAGTAGTTTAGATGCAGCTTTTTCGGTGAACCCTTCCCTCCTCACCCCTTGTCATAAAGCCGCTTTTCCTCAAAAAATGAGGTTTACACAGCTTTTTGACAAGGGGAGGCTTGCCAAAAAAGCAGCGTCTAAATTACTTTCACTTTCGAAAGCTCTGATTTTGAAAGTGAGATTGGAAGAATATATGCATATTTCCACGGAATTTGCATATCCTCTTTCGACACTTTAGTGTGGTCTATATAAGTCCTAGGTTTGTATGATCTGTAGGAAGTAATGCACTATCCTCCTGCTTGCAATCTCTGTCCTCCACTATGTTAATCAGCAAGGCTCTGCATCCCATAAGTGGCCCCCCCAGTGATCTCTCCTCTCCTACTGGTTTTATTTTTTCCCTTGTTTCTGACTCCATCCTCTTCTTACCTGAGGGCTTTGTGTGAGTCAGAACTCTCAACTTGTACTACACTCCTGGATAATTCACCCTGAGAGATAGAAAACTTGCGGCATGTGGTTTGGTTATTCAGAAAACGCCGTGGAATGTGGGCATATTCTGTGGAAAAAAAGTTTCTTGAAAATAATGTAACTAACCTCAAGACCTGTTCTACAAAAGTAGCTCTTGGTGAGAAATTGACATAATTTCAGGGGAACCTTCCTTAATGCCCTGGCAGCCTTTCATGGACATCCATGAAGTAAGCAAGAGTTTGAAAAATACCGTCATCTAATAAAGACAGATCAAACACTTTGAAGAGCAATGTCATAGATGGACTGATTGTTTTTTAAAAGCCTTTCAGCACTCTCCTGCAAACCCAATAGCAATAAATGTTAACTTCTGCTGTCCTCAGGTGATTCCTGTTTCCCCTACAGGGTTTCCTAAATGTAAACTTAACGGGCACCGTTTGAATTTTCCAAGGAACAAGAGTACATAAAAATACAATGTGCCTGTTGTATCAGGAAATGTAAACATATACAGACAGCTGTCTTGTATATTCTATTTTTATATGTAAAATATGCATTAAATTCTACTAAAATTCCTATATTTCAATATGTTTTTAGTATCATAAGAGCACGGGAGATGAATTTATCTAAACATGGATAAAACATTTTTCTTGAATAAATATAATAAATAGTACAAATATAAAACCAATTTTAGAAGATGCTACTTTGATTATACATATTGACACTACTCAGTGCTCATCAATATAAAATATATGGCCTTATAAACAGAAGGACTAGTTCTATGGAAACAACTATGCCAGTTTGGCAAATTTCTATGATATCTTTGACTTTCACCAGTCCTGGAAATAAAATGTTTTATAGGAACATAGGAACTTCCATATTGGATCAAACCTATGGTCCATCTGATCTAGTATTTGCTCTTTGACATTGGTCAATTCCTGAAGTTTAAAAAAGGAACAAAATACTGATACTGTGGGAAGATACTTCACTATCCTAACCAGGTAGTGGTTGGCTTGTGTCCTGAAACATTAATGTGTAGCCTCTAAATGTTGCTTTTTTATAGTAATTTTTTTCTTAAAATCTTAAAGATATCTTCATCCACTGGTGAAACAACTTCAGCCTCACGAGCAGCCTGGAAAATTCCAGTTCATCAGTTTTTAATTCAGAAATTTAAAAGGTCAGCCCACAACTAGTTTGATAGCATTACTTCCATAGTTCTGTGAGCAACTGTCACCATCATTGTTTTATTACAGTACCAACCAGATACAATCCACATGCAGTCTTTTTTCTCCTTGGCACCCTATTGTCATTGGTTGTTTCAAAACGTAGCTCTTGACTACATAGCATGAGCTACATAGCGTGAGCTATGTCAGTCTGGTGCCCATAATGCCATCTAACTCATGACCGAGCAGATGATTCATCCTTTGACCCAGCTATCACCTTGTGTTCAGTGATATTGGACTTCTCTTGCCTTGATTTTCTTATCACATGTGATTCTCAGATTTGATTAATCTCTCAATACTCTGCTGATACACCTACTGATTTAGTTTAGAGTAGGTGAAATAAACAAATTTGTTTCTTTAATTCATATCCCTAGCAAGGTCTTTCAGTTTGGCATTAAGACTAGGAGCTCACTTGAACACTTTTGATTTTGGGGTAGGTAGCTGGTGAAAGACATCAATCCAACAGACTGGGATGGTGTTGTGTTTTGATATAGCTAGCAACCTCAAGTATTGGTCTTTCTGATCTGGTCCACAACTTTCTAGTTAAGTATAAGAATTGCTGGTGCACAGAAAATAGAGTGCTGAGAATACTTAGTACTTTCTGTAACAGAGCAATGCATCATGGGGTGTTCTCCAGGTGAAGACCTGAGAATAATGGGACTGGTTTGAGTGGTAACACTAGCACATTTGAGAATTTCTATGTGTATAGCAAAGAAAGAGTGACAGTTTTGTGGCCGGCTGTCATTGTACAAGAACTGTTAAAACTATATTGAGCATATTAACCCCATGGAACCTGGCTTCATATTCAGTAAATAACCTGTAGTGTGGACAGGCCCATGAAGACACAAGCTTTTTCTCAGGAAACCAGTTCATCCTAAAATGTATACTTGTTCTGGATTCTAAAGCTCTTGGAGTAGGTATGGGGAACTCAAGCAGCCAAGAAAGCACTGATGAGGGATGCCATCAGGCATGCCACTTACTCAGTTTTATCCTGCCCGGGTTCAGGATCCGGTCCAGATAACCTACTTGTAGCCCACATGGTATATTCAAGTTCTAAGCACTTTTTTGAGGTTTGTAGTACTTATGCTTTCAGATTTGTAGACATCTTTCCAAGTGTTAACCAGACACTTGCTGATGCCAGTGTTGTTTAAACTAGCTCTTGAGTGTAAAACACCAATGGCATCTAGCAACTGGTTTGTTCGAAGGCTCCCAACATTGCTAATACTGGTGTGAACCAGTCATAATGAGAAACTTATGCAAAACTGTGCTACAAACACCTCCGGTATCCCTGCTGCTGTTCCTCCTGTAGATGTAAAAAGCAGCAACAGATAGGCATTTAAAATTATGGTGGTTACTACAATTGAACAGCTTTTCTTCCATTGATTGTTGGATGTTGCTGCAGTTTAGGAAAGGCAGCTGAGCAACAGCAGAGATATTGTGGGAAGTGGAGCTAACACCATGCAGGTTTAGTACAGTGTTGTAATGCTACTGCCAACTGTCCTTGCAGGAGTCTAGGGAGTGTAGGACTATGGTAGAGTAGCTGGCACACCCCACTCAGCAGCGAGTGGAATCTAGGTGAGGGTAGACTAGCAAATATCCTCTGCTGTTATAGCAGCCAGAAGGCTCAGGAAGGGACAAAAGAGTCAACAAGTGACTTTTTCCATTTAATTGCTAATAGTTATGGAGCTTCACATTTCTCAAACACCCACCAGCTAATCCCTACAAACAGGACCTACGCACAGTGCATCATTAGAAATTCCTTCACCACTTGCCAGTAGAGGGGGCTGGGCTTATCACCAAGATGTTGACTCTAGACCTTGCTGGTGGAGACCCCATCACCTATAAGCTAGTGGGTTTAATCCTCAAGTTAGTAGTATTTGATGGCTTTTCAGTTCAAGATCGTCTGTCTGGGTCTGTGGATTGAGTGTCAAAGCAAGAGTGAACGGGCTCTTCGCCTTCCCTGGTGGAGTTCCATGTAGTCTTGCAAATGGAAGTTCTCAGTACAGTAGGTGAAAGTGTGTAATGGTCTGGAAGAGGGACCTATGGACTCTCAACTGATGGAAGTCAGTGCATTTGTGACTATTACTGATGATTATTAATATAGTCAGTCTTTATATATGCTGATAGAAATGTAGCTGTGTTAGTCTAGCTTATATATGCGATAGAAATGTAGCTGTGTTAGTCTAGGGTAGCTGAAACAAAATACAGGACTATGTAGCACTTTTATATATGCTGTAATTTTACAAGTTGTCATCTTAACAACTTTACCAATTATGTGGTCTATAGCCTTCCATTTTGGGGGAAAATCATTAAGAAAGTAATGCTGGTTCACCTCTCTCAGCATTTGGATGCCTCTACTTCCTGGCTCCCTGCCTGACCATTTTATGCCTGTTCATGGCAAAAAACCCTGTACAGATCTCCTTAGTTGACCTTCCTCAGGCAAGGGTTAGCTGGGATAGCATGGCATGAGAAGTGGCAAGTGACAGGACAGGAAAGATCCCCATAACATGTACCCATGTGGGTTTGTACTTGAGGCGGCTAGCCTGTGCTGTCACCTGTCATTGCTTGGGCCACTCTGCTTCCACTGCTATTTTTGGCACACCAGCTCAAAGAAAGCTAGCAAGAGTATGTTTGTGTGTGCTGGGAATTGCACTCCTAGTGCCAAGAGTAGTAGAAGGGTCTTACGTGGAGAATCACAAAGGAATCCTTTCTCTCTTCCCCTTCTGTTCATTGTTTATTTAAGAGGAGATTGTGAGCTGTTACGACTCACACTTTCCTCCATGTAAAAATGATAGATCTGAATCTCATTCATCAAATCTGGACTTGGCCATTTTCTTGCTTTCCAAATAGTTGGCCAAGACTAGGACCAGTACAAAAGTGGGCTGGTTGCCTTATGCTCAGAGTGGGCAGGCATGCTTAGTCCTCCTATGAGTGCAGGGGGCTGGACTCGATGAACCTCTTGAGGTTCTTCCAATCCTACGATTATATGATAAAGTAACTTCTGGAGGTTGGCCCTTGGAAAATCTTTTTGTATCTTTGGTAAACTCATACTGCCTCTCTTGCTGGGGCAATAGGCTGATGAGTACTTCACAGCTGGGTTCTGCATTGCCTGCCAGCTTTTTTCATCCAGGTGTAATTAAAGATAGTGATGATTTTCCATAAAGCTGTTATGTTTTGTCTGCATATGAGAGTTACACCAGTTTAACTTACTGTCTTTTAAAATTGATTTAGTTAAACCAATGCCAAAGGCACATAGACACTCTCTTTGGAATAAATCAAGTTTATTTTGATTTAATTAATGCTTGGTTGATTTCATTAATGCCTGGTTTGTACCGGAGCTTCCATCAGTTTAGAAAAACAGTGCAAACTCCTGACTAGCAAGGCTGGTGTAAACTGAAACAAATATGTCTGTACAGCAATTCGCACTAAGTTAGATGTTTTAAAAATCACATTGTAAGTTAAGCTGTTGCAACTCTCCCATGTAGACAGGTCTCTAAATTGATTAGAAATTGCTTCCAACTAAACTGAAAATTAGCCTCTCTTAAACCAAAATAAGTATGTCCATACAAGAGTTTTTCATTAATTTAACTAAAACTTGTATAAAACTGATTTAAGTGAAAATGGTGCACCTTTCTTGTGTAGGCAAGTTCCAACTAGTCCAAAGACACAGCTGTTTGAGAGACAGGTTGTCTCCTAAGCAGTTGCAGAAATTACAAATACACGTAGTACTTTCTTGGTTTTGTGAGGATGGTAATGTCAGTCTCGGTGGAATGTCACTGAAGTGGGGCTCACTTCTGCTGACAGATCCCATCGGCTCACATTTAAATGCTCATGTGATCTCTTTTATTTATCTTTTTCTTTGTTGCTGGTTTTTGGTGTGGCATGTCATTTGATGATGGGTGGCTTAGGGCAGGATCAAATCTGTTACCTTTGTAGAAGTAATTTGTTTTTTAATTGTGTGTATGTATGTAGTGCCAGATACCATGATAGTAAGTGCTTAGACATCTGACTTCCGAACCACTATCTTTGCTTACAGTACTCCTGATGAGTAGTTAACACGGACTTTAATAGCCTTTTTAACTTCAACCCACTGAGTAATTTGTCTTTGTTCTAGTTTTGTCAAAGTTCTTAAACTTAGTTAAATAACTGTCTCGACAGAGCAGGAATTTGACATTTGAGAGCCCCTTCCAGTGTCATTGGAAATGTAGGTGAAGACATAGTAGCCCTCACTGCACTATTTTTTTTGGCACACCAGGTGATCCTCCAAAAAGCCTGAGAGCACCACCTCCCTCCTGCCTAGGAAAATACGTTGATGTGTCATTCAGGTCTGACTTTCCCTGCAGTGCTGTAAACCCTGTAAACTACCTCTGGCCTTTGAGTACCTCTGATTCATCTTTAACAAGACTATAACAATTTCCATCAACTCGCCAGTCTTTGTACCTTTTTTGTCACCCTCCATCAGGCCTGCCAACATGGAGGCAAAGGGGGAGCTGCCCCAGGGGCCGGTTTGCTCCCGGTTACTGCTATTGCAGTGGGGCCCAGAGCCCTTCTGGCTGCCCAGCCACGCCCATTCTGGCTGATGCCTGCCCTTTCTGGAGCTCAGAGCTGGCCCCCGCTGGCTGCCCAGCCACGCCCATTCTGCCTGCCCTTTCTGGAGCTCAGAGCTGGCCCCCAAAATTTGTTCTGAAACCTGATGAGTGTCTCTGCTTCCTTGCCCTCCATCTAGCCATTGTTTACTTAACCCAGCAGCAAGTCTGTCCTGTACTCCTTCCCCCGTGCCACAGTTTCAGGGAGTACTTTTCATAGAACATTGAGTGTTCAGTAACCACCCAGTATCTGGAAGGGAGCATACTTTGTTCAGGAACCATGATGTTCAGCTGATTGTTGGAACACCAACAAGTTAGTTTGCCTGCAGCTTTTTTTATTCTAAAGGAGGTGAACTACAAAATGTTGCTTTGCTGCAGTGATAGGACTCACCATTTAAATGTACAAAAGTTAGGAAATTCAGCATGTACTCTGCCATCTTATGCACCTGTATCCCAAGTCAAGAAAACACATAGCAAATGTTTACCTGCTGTCATGAACAGGGATGGATTTAAGTCCTAATAGGAATATTTCCTGAATCAAGGCAATTACCTGGTTCTCTAGTGAATTGTATTTTATGTTATTTTCAACATGGGTCCCAATTCTGTTCACATGGACTTTTGTAAAATTACAAACTTAAGGTGGTGTAACCAAGAGCAAAACCAAACCGGTCTTACCATTGCTAGTATTTCAGGGTTTGACAACTAATTTTTAAAGCTGCACATAGAAAAAAAAATTACAATAATCAAGGATTATATGGAACAGTATCTGAGCCCATTAAAATTGCATTTGTTAGAATGGCTGTTATAACAAAGTTAAGTTTCCACTGGCACAGCCATTCTTTTTCTAAAAACTTTGTAAAGTTTATAAAAGCTGGCAGTGAATTTGTTTTCTGCTGTCTTGTTACAGCCTTACTTACATGTGCAGAGCAGGAGCAATCCGGACAGATGATAACTGCATTATTTTAAAGGTAAGCTGATTACATAATTGAAATTTAAGCAGCAGTTAAACCACAATTTTCTTAAACTCTGTTTGTCACTATTTTATCTGTGTATAGCTGTCAAAAAGTGTTACAAAAATCATTATTGATTCTAAGAGGAAGAGTTTCAAAGGCACAAAATGCAGTTAGTTAGCTAACTCACTTGAAAATTAGGTACTTACCTCTCATTTATGCCTTTGAAAATTTCTTTATGTAGCAATATGTTCTTTATAAATATTTAATAGTTATCATATTTTAACTCTGCTTATTAAGCTAGCTATAGTAAGTCTGAAGCCACAGGAAAAAAGTTTGACAAACATCCATTTTATGTTTGTCAAGTTAAAAAAATGCAAAAATTAAAAATTGCACTGCCAGTATTGGACAATCATTTGGAAAGAACATGCAAAACCACTTCATCAGGCTGCCCTCTGTGTGTAAGTGAAACATTAATGATTTATTGTTTTCAGAGACCGTTCTCAACAGAAGGTACTCAATGCTTGCTTCAGTGTTTATTTTTTAGATCTGAAATAGCATATCTGCTTAGAATAGTTTCAGAACATATTTTTCTGAAGGATCTGTGTGAACATCTTGTGTTCATTTCTCATATGGTGCCTGGCAGGTGAAATTTTTGAGACTGTTACCATGGTGTATTAGGCATGATTGGTAAAACGAGTCTTCTGTAGTGAAATTTTTGAGACTGTTACCATGGCATGATTGGTAAAACGAGTCTTCTGTCAGAAAATTGTCTTTGGAGAGTAGGAATTACACTACTTTCTAGTTAGTTACAGAATCATGGCTAGCACTGAAAACTAGAACAATCGTGTATCAGTTAGCATTCTGAACATTCTAGAGCTGAGGGGATACAAACAGTGTGCTCTCTTAGGCATTCCTCACTTCCTTATTTATGCCAGTGAAGAGAACCTGTGCATTTCCTTTTTAGCCTATCAATTTTTAGAATATCTGTAGAATTTGGTAGGTTTAAGAGCTGTCTATCTAGTGAGATTTCTGTATTTACCATCCCAGATGATGGCAGACCATTCAGATTTAAGAAATATACAATCTAGAGATGCAATTGAGCTGTGCTTGCAGTACCTTTTTGGCACGTGGGACCTTCTTGCCCCTAGCCGGGAGTAGGGGAAAACTCAAGCTATGGATAAGGCCTTAGCAATCAGAGTCAAACCGACTTTCATCAGAGTTGTCAGCGAAACTTGATCTTGTTCCAAAAACTTCAGGTCACAGCTTTGAAGTCTTTTCATAGAAGATGTCGTTGTCCTTGGTCAGAGGAGCTTGTGTGTGTGATGTTAGTCTATTCCCTCACATGAGGGGATAGTTATTGTCTACAAGCCTCAAGAGTACCAGGAATCCACCGTACAGTACAGGCAGTCCCCAACTTGTGATGCGATCTGTTCCTGAGAAAGTGTTGCAAGTCGAGGACGTTGTAACTTGAACCCGCATTTACTGCTTCATGTGGCAGTACTGAATTGGAAAATGTTAGATTCAAAATAGGATATTTGATGTGATCATTTATATCTTGGTACTTAGAAGTCTTTTTCACAATGGTGATGGTAAGTTCTATCAAGTGGACATTTGAGTTTCCATATAGAACATTTTGATTGTGGGTCCCTTCTGGACATGAAGTTTGCAGAGAGGATTATGACCAAAAATGGTGACAGGAAAGAACCCTATACTGCAGTAATGAGTGCTAAGTGCCTGTAAATGAATAAGTTAAACTTAATTTCTATACGTATCCCCACAAGCTTTTAAATCTTTTTATAAAAGAAACTTTGGTGAGGAGTATTGTTCTAAAAAGACGTACACAATTACCTTCTCTGAAACTAAAGATGAATTTTGTACCCTCCAGACACTGCCAACTTTGGTTCGGATGTGTAATAAGGAGAGATTGCTGGAGGAGCGAGTAGAAGGAGCCGAAACACTTGCCTATCTGATTGAAACAGATGTTGAGCTTCAGAGAATCGCCAGTATTACCGACCATCTTATTGCAATGCTTTCTGACTACTTCAAGTATCCCAGCTCAGTCAGTGCAATCACTGATATCAAAAGGGTATATGTTTTTCTCAGTCAGTTCAGAACTTCCCAGAGTATATGGAAAAGATTTTCAAACTGCCAACGAATGTCTTAAGTACTCACAATTTCATTAAAATTGTGTTCCCGTTCTTGCACTGCTGTATTAGTGTCTGATCCCATACTTCATGAAATCAGTGGGAGTTGGAGCAGTCCCATAATGTTTTTGGCTATTCGGGCACAAGACCTTTCTTTTATTGTATTACAATCCCTCCTTCCACGCTAATGAGGAACATTCCCGGCAGATACACTGTAGGAGCAGTGAGTAGGCAAAAGACCTGCCAGCCAAGCATCATGGGCATCAGGTACATAAGACGGGGGAAGTCTCTGCCTTCCCAAACCACCAGTTATAGCCCTGCCCACACTCCTCCCTCAGACCGCCTGCTGTAGGAGTGTTGCTGCCCCAAGCGCCCGCCCTCCTGCTGCTGGAGAGGCTGGGAAGTGTGGCACGCCTTCCTCCTTCCCCTCCTGCTGCTGCAGAGGCTGGGAAGTGTGGCACGCCTTCCTCCTTCCCCCGTGCTCCAGGACTGGGGAGGCTGGGACCATGCTGCATGGAGCAGCACACCCTGCCTCCTCCCTCCCCGGAGGCTGGGCTGGGCTCGGCCAGGCTGCACAGCATGGTGTGCCTTCCTCCACACTGCTGGGGAGGCTGTGGCGAGCGCATGCCCTCTCCCTTCCCCTTCCCATGGTTGAAGGGGGACCCGCCTTCTGGGGGAGGGGCAGGGCAGGGTCTAGCAGAAGGGGTGGGGCTGAAGGCCTGCCTCCTCCAGCCCTGCCTTCACCAGCCGCCCATGCTAAGCATTCTGCTCAAGCACCTACCCCACAACCTTTTAGACCGCTCTTTAGCCTCCTTTGCAATGGAAGCATGGAACTGCAGACTCGGTCTCCCTGTCTTGCCTACTTTCTCTAACTCTAATGCCCTTTCACTGGTGGAAAGGAGAACAAAAGGAAGGAATGGTCATCCCAGGCAGGAAAAGTTTTCTTGGCCTTGTTCCTCCCCTTCTTCCATGGATTTGGAATGTACTTGAGAGAGAGAAAGGCCTTCGAATCCCATTTGGCCCTGGAATAGCCCAGGGAGCATCGTTAGCAGAATCCATCCTCAAACTCTTACTGTTTGGAGCTGCTCATGCTTACCCAGATTTACCAAATGCTCAGAGGGTCACAGTTGAAAAACAACCACATAAGTACAAAGAATGTTCTTCTCTGAGTGATTGCTCACGTGCATTCTGTGTTTGCACGTGCACCGTGTGCATGATCGACGGAAGACTATTCCCTAGTGGTACCTGTCAGGTCGGCGTTGGCGCCCCCAGTGGAGACGCCTCATGGTGTATTATATATACCCCTGCCAACCCAACTCCCACTTCAGTTCAGTTCTTTCTTTCTGCCACTGAGGATTATTGACGCTTCTTGCTTTGCAAGTAGTTAGTCCCTAGCATAGCATTTTTTTTGTTGCTTTTGTTGTGCAGATTAGTTGTTTCTTTGAGTTACTTAGAGTAGTTAGTTTAAGGTTCTCCCCCCCCCCCCCCTTTATTTGCTGTCGCCTTGCG